TACTCGCAATGTGTTTTCTCTAAGCTATGCTGTCAAAGAGGAAAAGCATCTGAATGCTGGACTGGGAGTAGTCAAAAGCTTACTGCAGTCACACTCTGGGTTTTACTTCAAGAAACATTAGAGCTGCCCATTGTATAACTGCTGTAGATTCTCAGAGTGTGAACAATGTGGAAGAACAAAACAACTCTGTCAACAATAGGAGTTAAATGGCTGATTGTGACAACAATTAACTCATCAGTTCCACAGTGGTAATGTCTTTAAGTTGAAATCAAGCCATAGAAGGTACAACTCACAGCTCCAGAAAAACACAAATAAGCTGCCTTCACATATGTACACAAACAATGTGTACCTTTGATCACAATGATTTAACAGCATAATAACATATCAAGTGGAAATAGGCACATCAACAACACTAACCATAAAAAGGTGCAATGAAAGAATATGTATTGGCTTTCTCTGGACTAAGTCAAGTGTTGGTCCCTTTTTAAATGTAATCATTGAGCTATGTCATGCTAGACAAAGTAGCCCACTGACGGGACAGTGTTGTATGACGGTGGTTTTATTTGTGGGGAGTACATTTACAGTAATACCCTTCTACTTTCTTTTTTTTAAACCAAGCATATTGCACCATGGTAAGCAATATCAACAGTTAATGTAGGAGTTGTTAATGAAAGACTTATCCTGGCAGGATTGTAAGTTTTTTTTTGCTCATATCTAAGTACTTAAACGTATATGAAAGATCAACAGTAAACTCTGGCAAAGACATTATCAAATCTTTAACCCCAACTCACCAAAACATTGGTAGGCTGACACAGCACACCATACTATTTGTTTAGAGGTACACACACTAATTCTTCTCTCTTTATCTAAATGTATATTTCTTCGACGCCCTCCATTATGATGATAAACAGCTCACCGTTGGACTCCCTTGCCTTTGTTGCTGCGTTAAGGTCATATCTTACTCTGCCCAGCTAACAGGAAACGACTCGAACTATTATTGGGACATTATAGCGAGCGAGTGGGAAATTACACTGAAAGGAATGATCTGATGAAGACAGGCCCTTATAAGTCAATCACACAGTCTGTTACTGTATGAAACATGGTGTACTGACTTCATGGCAGCTCTACAGCTGAGTCACACGCTTCGACACGTGCAACTGTACTGCGAGCTATTTAAACAAAGAGTGTGGTGAAGTGCCAGGAACACACACACACACACACACACACACACACACACAAAAACAAAGACACCACCACAGAAAATACATTGTATTAAAGTAGCTACACAAACAATGGTAAGGTCTTTGTCAGTCTTAAGTTAATTCACCGTAAGTAATGTGGATATTGTGCCACAAGGTTGATAACTGTATTGTTGTTCTCGTGATATGAAAAGAATATCAATACAGTAACATTAAAGCTGTTAACTGTTAGAGTATGGACTTACTCCCTACACTTGTAAAGTAATGATATATCTACAGTGGTGTAAAGTAACAAAGTACATTTACTTAAGTACAATTTTGAGATACCTTCCCACAGAGTATTTAAAATTGTTGCTACTTTCCACTTCTACAATTCAGAGGTTAAAGTGTACTTTAACTCCATTACATTAATGCAATACCTTTAGTTACATTGAATTGACGATATGAAATATAATCAACACTTAAATAAGACTTTAGTTACACCTGTAGTACATCAACAAGAAACCCTGCACTATGCATATTTAATCAAATTAAACTGTGATAAACAAATAATGCATTTATATTTAAAATCCCAAATGTATACATTATTCCGAAATGGACCAGCCTGAACGATTTGTACTTTGGAGTATATTAGTATACTGTTATACTTTTACTTGAGTAACATTTGCATTGCAGCACTTTTACTTGTAGTAGTTCTACACTGTGGTAATAATTCTACTTTTACTTAAGTACAATAACTGAGTACTTCTTCCACCTCTGAATATCTGATAAAAACCTAAAGCGTACTATATAAGTGTCAGAAATTAAATATATCCTATCGTTAACAGTTAGCTTATTAACGTGTGTCACGGCTAGCTTAATTATCAACACACTTAAGCTAGTTAGTTGGCAAACACAACATTGACAACTAGTAATTCTCCTTGACATATATCAATAAATGTCGCACTAGGGTTTGTACTATTATTTCCTGATTGTTTTCATACAAACACTAACTAAAGGAAAAGGAAAGACGAGAGATCTCGTAGTGGCCTATGCGTGCTTAGCTTGCGTAAAAACAGACAAAACGGACTCACCAACGGAAAGGTTACCAGCGACGAGCCCTCCTCTCTCTGCTTCACTTTCGAGGCATTAAAAGGTCGTAACAAATGGAGACACCAAAACCAGAATGTGGTGAGACAATACAAAAGAAATGATGGTTGTTTTCGTCGTGTAGCTCCGTCAGTGGTGTTCCGTTGTTCCTTGTCCTCGGCGCTTTATTTTAGGTGAGCGGAAACACTCGCTCTACCAGCTGCCTCCTCGCTCTTGCGCGGTCTCCATGGCTACCTCGTTAAAAAGGGCGGATCCTATTCTGACACAGGGCTCGACTTCAGAATAAAAGCACCGCATTTTGCTGGTGAGACAAAAGAAAATGCACACAAAGAGAGAAAAATACATCAATATTTTCAAGATTCAAGGCTTTTATTGTGATTCGTACATAGCTACAGTGTAGTTATGTCGATGAAAATCTTAGGTCCCAGGATCCTCCAACAGTGCAACACAATAAACAGATAAAATAGTGCAAGTAAATATAATAAAATAGAATAGAAGTAGTGCCATAAGAGTCTATACAAGTGATACATAATTTGTAAGGTGCAAACAGGTGAATGTAGAATAACAATAACAACTGCAAATGCTACAAATTAGACACTAATAGAATGGGGATGAAACCCTGACATTTGGCCTCTGCATTTAACCCATCCTAGTACCAGTCTAGTCTAGGACTGGAGCAGTGGGGGCAGCTATTGTACAGCGCCCGGGGAGCAATTGGAGTGGGGGGGGGGGGGAGGGGGATGTCCGTTACAAATTAGAAAAATAAAGACAAAATACACAAAATATAATTATGTAAGGAACTGAGTAAAATATAATAAAATACTTGTATCTTCAATGATCAGCAACCAAATGAATCATTATTGATACTTTTCTTGTAGAAATGTACAGCTATTTGTGAGAAATGAAAAGGAATGTGTCCATGCCAACCTATATTTACCTATTATGTACTTTAGGTCTATAGAACAGGTATCTTTTATGTTGGGTTTTGTCTACCTCTTTCTTCCTCTATAGCTATACAATTTGAAAGGCTCTTAACATCATCATGGCATGCATATGAATAGATGCAGTAGTTGTTAAACTCACCAGTGGATGAGTATATACAATACATATACGTGTGGTCATAATGTGCCTAAACAGTATTCGTATATTCCATTATTTGATACTAAGTACTGCACTGTATTTACATAATGTGCTTGCAGATAAAAGAGTTAAAAGAGTGGGTGGGATTGTTACTTTCATTTACTCAGAAGGGATAGAAAGTGAGATCTCTCGTCATACCTAACCGCAGCTCACTCTGTACTACCTGCAAAACATAATGTGTCACTGCAAGCATCAAAAGAGGAAGTTGTTTGTTTTTGAAATCATCATCTTAGCCTGCAAGAATTCATAAAGTATTTGCAAACATCTTGGTCTTATGGATGCGTTAGAAAAATATTGAATCAATATTAATTGGGTTATTGGTTTTTCTGGAACCATTAAATATGCATGGCAGCTAGGAAATCCAGATAATGTTTATTACAGAGAAACGTTGGCAGGGAAAATATAAAACAGATTTAATATGAGGATAAATTCATCCATATCATACATTAATCAATCCTTTATCTTGTTTTTCATTTCCATTTTAAGTATAGGTTTCTTTAAATTACAATTATTACTATTTAGCACAATAAGACACTATTTTGTAGACACTTTAAAGACATTTATTTAAAAGGATTATAGTGTTTTGTGAAGTTTTTGATACTGTATGTCTTGTATTGTCCATATGGTCTATAATAATGTCTCACTTTATTTGTTATGATGTTATTGCACGGAGCAAATGGTGCAAAGGTCGCTAATGATCAACATTTAAAGGCAGAGGAAGGAAATTCACTAACAATAAATCTGATGTTTTCCACTGAATAGCTATTAAATACACTTTTACTTTCCCTTTCTACAATTCCTGTTAATTTTGGCTCCCTCCCTAGTCTCTATTTACAGCATATCCCCCTCCTGCCTTAATTTCCCCGCTTTGTCTATAAAGGATTCCTATCCCTTGATGATTCCAGAGGTTTGGAAACCCTGGCAGTGGCCAAATAATGATTACTTGAATACATCTCCTGAAAAACCCCTTGACATGTCCTTGAGTCATGTAAACAATCTCTGACAAGACCCACACATGTACCCTAGAGATAAACAAGAGGCAGCTGAGCCTAGTGTTTTGCTATTTAGCTCATTAATATGAAAATATATGCAGCAAGGTGGTCCAACATCTAATCAGATAATCTATTCCACAGCAGGAACATGTGGTGTAAATGAGTTTCCTATCATGTCCTGTCCTTTTCCTATTGTAGGCCGATTCATGGTGATAACACTATAGGGCATTCTCCAAATAACATATACACTATAAGGAGATCAAAATGTAATGTTGCTTGTATAGGAAGGGTGTCTTAACCTTTCCTGCTTTCCCAAATATACATACACTGTGCAAATGCTACATCTAGTGGCTGCTTCACCTTCCTACAAACATGTGTATGATCCTGAAGTCGATTATTTGTATGTGGCAATTCATTATTACTAATTGAAAATAAGTAGTTATTACATTTTATCTCATGTTTGAGTAGTTAAAATCTCTTAATGGTTGCCCAGGAACCACTGTCAAATATATGGAAGGGTTACATTTCACAAGAGGGATGAACCCCTGATGTTGGCGTCGTACTGCTACAGACTTCTCCTTTTATTTTACTTCTTATACATTTAATTTAAAGGACCATATCGTTAAATCATGACTACTCAAATCAGTGCACTCACTAACTAAAGAAAACCCAGAAGAAGCTGATGCAAAAACGGATCTCCCCCTTCTTAGCAAAGTGGTTTCTCCCACTTGCTTCAATGGTGGACGTTCCATGCTTTCTGTTTACATCAATGCTTCGTAGTTGTACAGGTATGCCAATCAGTCATCTTCTGGCTTGTTTGAAATACATTTTGATAGATACTTACAGTATGCGTAAACCAGTCAGTAGTTTGTAGTAAAACAAAGGCGATAAAGTTAAACATAAACCATTGCTCAAACCTACATAATTACTTTCACTGCTAACTAATATTAGCTCATTGTATGTTTAAGCTAGCTAACCGGCGTTATCCATAACGTACAGTTTGTTTTATTTGTTTTAGTTGCTAACTACATGTCGTCGGTTCATTTATCCGTTTTCAGAAAAGTGAGGTGTGTTATATTGACCTTTCCCCCAGTTAAACATGAATGAACTCTACTCTCTCAACTGAGGACAGGCTACTGCGTGTTATTTATCTAACCACCCAGGTGCTGCACATGTGACTCTTTCACTGTAGATATTGTTGACTTGTCATAACAGGAAAAAGTGTTACTAATAACATTAATGGCTCTGTTCTATTCAAGTGTTCCAGTTAGAGGCAGCAGGCATCCAAGGTATCATGACTTGAAATCAAAGCAGCTAAATGTAAGTCAGCCATCATTAATTTCAGTTTTACACCAGTGTGCTTTCCCAACTGTGTCTAATGAAAATGTCTGCAAGTGTTGTTGGTGGGCAAGCATCTTATTGCAGTTTACTTTTGGCCTTGGCTTCACCACATGATTATTTTGTACCTTCCCCTTAATATCTGTGCAGGGGCCATAATATATAATGACCTTGTAAAGTTATTGATCATGACTTGACTACTGTTTAAGTTTAGCGATGGCACTGTTGACACAATATAGAAAATGCATTCTTCATGTAAAATTACACAGTCACTAAACAAAACAGATGGAAGAGTATTTTGTCAAAAAATATTAGATTAGATTAGAATCTTTAATGACCACACAGCCAGGCTGGTGGAATTCGTGTTCAGTGCAGAGTATTACAGCTTGTTCCATACATATACATTGTGGGTCCCAAGATAAACACAATCATCAAAAAAAACTATATGGAATGGCAAAGAATAGTATTGTGTGTGTGTGACATCAAATACATATTTAAAAAAGAAGATTGTTTATTTTTGTGAAAGCGATGACATTTATTAAATGTTTCCTTTTCTTTCACAGAAGTGGTGACCACAAAGCTGTACCAATAAGGCCTGATTAAAGGGATACATACACCCAGGCCATTACAGAGAGAGAGCTGTAATGGCTTACTCGCAGATCCGACTGAAAATTCTCCCCAGCGTTCGATGTCTCTTTGATAAACTGGTGCAGGTACGAGTAGAGGGACTCACTCCTCACAAACAAGTCCAACTGAGGTCCAGACTAGTTGATGACAGAGGGCGGGTTTTCAAGGCTTCTGCCCTGTACAAAGCAAATGAAACAGGCCAGGTGGATGTCTGCCGTGCACCCTCTCTGGGAGGCAGTTACACCGGAGTGGAGCCCATGGGCTTGTTTTGGGCCATGGCACCGGAGATTCCACACAGTAAACTCCTGAAGAAGAATGTGCTCAGCCCAACACTTGTGGAGATCGAGGCGATGAGTGCAGAGACTGGTGAGCTGTTAGCCTCTGAAACCAACGAGAGAGGATACATGACAGAGGGGATGAAGAGAATACCTGTGCAAGAGGGAAGGATACGAGGAGTCCTCTTCATACCACCAGGTTAGTTGTGTTTTAAGCGACTGGAGAGTGTTCTGCTTAACTTTTACTCACACATATTTGATTTTCTCCAGGTGAGGGTCCATTCCCAGGAATAGTGGATTTGTACATATTTGGTGGACGTCTCACAGAGCCCAGAGCCAGCCTGTTGGCAAATAAAGGGTTTGTTGTTCTTGCGCTGGCCTATATGGGCTATGAGGATTTACCAAAAAACCCTAAAAAGTTGGATTTGGAGTACTTTGACGAGGCTGTGACATATCTGAGGAGACAGCCAGAGGTTAGTGTCTGAGACTCAAACAGTAAACACAATCACAATTATATTAGTAGAATCTCAATGTTATCCCTTCCATTTCTTCTGTCTTTGTTTTGCACCTTTTGGGAAAAATAATTCTGATGAATAACATTCAAACTGAGAATGTATTAGATATATTGACCCATATTAGAATGAACCGTGCCAATGTTGCCACCTGCTGGCTACTTTCTGAAGGCACACGTCTAAGCCTGGGACAGAAACTGATGAATATAAAGCATCATTTAGGATAATTCTCTTTATTTGATGAGTCGGACAGAATATTTTTATAGTTTCAGATTACATTTTGGATTGTTTGTCAGGCAAAGCAAGACAATATCACCTCGGGCTTTAGGAATTGTTAACATTTTCCAGTTTTTTCTGACATTGTTTAAAAATTAAAACAACTAATTTAAAAAAATGGCGAAATAATATGTAGAACAAGAAGTAATGAAAACAATTGTCGGTTGCAACCGTAGTGTATTTAATTCGGTTTTGGATGTGATTAAGACATTGTTGTTGTTTTTATGAATTAGGACATATTAGCAGGGGAACAATATTTTAAAGTTGATTATTAATACAAACAATCTCTATGCAGGTTAAAGGTCCGGGGATCGGCATCATATCGATCTCTCACAGTGGCGGTTTGGCTCTGTCCATGTCCTCTTTCCTCTCTGGGATCTCAGCCACCGTCTGCATTAATGGCTGCAACGCAAATACTGCGATTCCTTTACACTACAAAGACCTCATTATACCACCACTTACCCCTGTCCTGAAGAATATTACATTCACAGACTCTGGGCTTTTATATGTACGTAATGGCTTACCTGACCCTTCTTTGGAAAAGAACAGGGCGTCACAGTTTCCAATTGAACGTGCCAGCTGCCACTTCCTGTTTGCTGTTTCTGAAGACGACCACAACTGGAACAGTGTTTTATTTGCCAACCAGGCTGCTGCTACGCTAAGAAGTCATGGCAAAGAGTCTTTTCAGGTTGTTACATACCCTAAAGCTGGACACTTTTTGGAAGTCCCTTACATGCCTCATTGACCCTCTGGGTTTCATGCAGCCGTAGGGAGCGAGGTGGCGTTTGGTGGGGAGCCAAAAGCCCACTCAGAGGCTCAGCTCGATCTGTGGGAACGAGTCCAGCAGTTCTTCAAGAGCCACTTGGACAACAAGAGTAGGCCTACTTGCTAGCTAGCAATGCTGAATCAAGTGTATCAAGCATGCCAGAAGGGCTGTCGTTAGTAACACTTAACACTGCCTTCTGTTTCTAATGAATGACATTTTCAAAGGTGTACTTAATGATACTTAACGAGTACCAGCACGGAAGGTAAGCAATGTAATGCATTGGCCAACGGCAGCAGCAAAACACATTTTATTATACCTAAAATAATTACCCACCATAAGATGTATTATGATTTTCAGCGTATACTATATTTAGAATATTTTCACTGCTTTTCATTGTCGTCAGACAGCTCTCCGCTACAAGGAACTAAAGCCTCTATATCCATCTTTGATGATAATAATAATAATAATAATAATCTATAGTCTCTTTAAAGCCATCTGACCTTGACAAGTAATTTGACCTTGTTGGTATTTTAAAAGGTAAGTTTGGATTCACCAAAGTCACACAATATAATTAACACAGTCATCGAAATCAAGGCAGCGATAAACCAGCAACTCCACTGTCCTGCAAGGTAAAATAACTTGTTGAGTAAGTCATGGTTTTTCCCTGTACCTGCTCCCCCTGGGCGCTATCATTAAGAAATAGGGTGTCTCATTTCATTTTTATGCAGATGACTCGCAAATCTACATGCCCCTGAAAATAAATGACCCAAACCCTCAGCAACGCCTGTCTGACTGTCTGCAGGACATCAGAGCCTGGATGGCCTTGAACTTTTTAAAATTCAATGAAAAAAAGACAGGTCATAATATTTGGACCCAGTGGTGGCCCCAATGCCCGGCCTGTGCTGGATTCTCTTGTCCCATATGTGAAACCCATTGTCACAAACCTGGGTGTACGGATTGATCGTGATTTTAAACTAGACAAACAGATTAACTCTGTGGTCAAATCCAGCTTCTTTCAGCTAAGACTTTTAGCAAAGGTCAAGCCTTTCCTTTCTTTTAATGACTTTGAGAAGGTAATACATTGTTTTATATCCACTAAACTGGATTACTGCAATGCTCTGTATATTGGAGTAACCAAGGCTTCCTTGTCACGCCTACAGCTGGTCCAGAATGCTGCTGCGCGCCTCCTTACAAGGACAGGCAGGCGTGAACATATTACGCCTGTACTCGCCTCTTTACATTGGCTACCAGTCTGTTTTAGAATCCAAATTAAAATGTTACTGTTCGCATCCAAGGCCCTAAACGGTTTAGCCCCACCGTACCTGGCAGATCTTTTAAAACCATACACACCAACACGGTCACTGAGGTCTGCTGACAGACTCCTTCTGGTAGTCCCTAAATCAAGGTTGAAGCAGCGAGGAGACGGAGCCTTTGCTGTTGTAGCTCCAAAGTTATGGAACGAATTGCCCCTCCAGGTTAGACTTGCTCCAACTCTGCCTGTTTTTAAATCTCGTTTAAAAACCCACTTCTTTTCCCTGGCATTTACAGACCAGGTGACACTTGTGCTTTTACATTTGGGTTTTTATATTACTAGTGTTTTGTATTGTTTTTACGTCATGTAGGAACGTTTCTCAGTCTGTGGCTTCTGATCTGGTTTCAGTGTCTCGTGTTTTACATTTGTTTCATGTCCTGTCTGTTTTTATGTATTTATACTATGTTTTTATACAGTTGTTGATGTACAGCACTTTGTTCAACTCTGTTGTTTTTAAATGTGCTATAGAAATAAAATGGATTGGATTGGATCAAAAGCACATAGGCTTCAGTTTTCCATTGAAAAGGAAGAGTCAAGGAAGGGCAGTTGAGGCCTAAATTATTAGCCCCCGGGAGTTATGGAACATTTTCCTAAAATTCTTCCCAATGTTTCCAGCATTGATAAAACTTGATATAATCAAACATTCACCAGTGTTATTTAGTAGCTTTTGGTATATTTTGGAAATTAAAACAAGTTTTTAGGCTTGCTTTATATCAAATATAGTGAAAAATGGGTTGGACAAAAATATTAGACCCCATGTGAATTTTTGCTTTCAAAACACACCTAATCAACCAATCAGCTTTCAAACCACACCTAATCAACCAATCAGCTTTCAAGCCACACCTGAGCATTCAATTAGCATAAAAGGACTCCAAGAAACAGGCACTTGAATACCTTATTGAGAGGGACTATACTACTACTCACCATGCCAAAGACAAAGGAAATCAGTCTTGAGCTCAGAAAGAAGACAGTGGAGGCTCATGATAAGGGGGAAGGCTATACTGCTATTTCCAAGCGCTTCACAGTGTCTAGCACTGCTGTACGTTGCATCATTGCGAAGTACAAGGAGACAAATTCTGTAAGAAACAAACCTGGGCGTGGTCGAAAGCGCAAGATTTCAAGAACTCTGGAGAGGAAAATAGTCAGATGTCAGCAAGAATCCCTGGACATCTGCCAAGATGATTGTTGCTGACCTGGCCTCTTCTGGAGTTGATGTTTCAAGGAACACAGTTGTGAGGGCTCTTCATCGCGGTGGGCTTCAGGGCCATCGTCCCAGAAGAACCCCTTTACTCAAAGAGTGGCACATCAGAGCTAGACTGAGGTTTTCCCTTGAACATTTGAAATGTAAAGATGAGTTTTGTAAGTCTGTGCTTTGGTCTGATGAGACTAAACTGGAACTGTTTGGGCACATGGATGTTGCTTATGTTTGGCAAAGAAAGGGAGAGGCCTTCAACCCTAAGAACACATCATGCTGTGGGGCTGTCTTGCAGCCTCAGGCTGCCAGGGAGCCTTATTCGGGTGCAAGGCATCATGAAAAATTAAAATGATGTTGACATTTTGAGGGATAATATGAAAAAAATCTGCTCTTAGTCTTCGCTTAGGTCGTCCAACAAGACAATGACCCAAAGAAGCACACATCAAAATTGGTCCAACAGTTCCTAAAGGACACCAAAACCAAGGTGCTGGAGTGGCCCGCACATAGCCGAGATCTCAATCCTATTGAGAATCTGTGGCGGGTGCTCAAAGTGAATCTCCATGCTCGGAAACCACGCAATTTGGACCAGCTGGAACCATTTGCAATGGAATAATGGGCCAAAATCCCTCAAGAGACCTGTGCCAACCTAGTAAAGAACTAAGAGGTTGTTGTCAGTTGTGGCTCAGAAAGGGTACACTATTGACTATTAATGGCCTGGGGGCTAATATTTTGGACCAACCCATTTTTCACTATATTTGATATAAAGATAGCCTTAAAACGTATTTTATTTTCCAAAATATACCAAAAGCTACTAAATAGCACTGGTGAATGTTTGATTATATCACGTTTTATCAATGCTGGAAACATTGGGAATAATTTTAGGAAAATGTTCCATAACTCCTGGGGGGCTAACAATTTAGGCCTCAACTGTATGTTGACAGGTCCTTGCAGGATATCACAGGTGAAGCTAATACCAAACATAACGATGCCTCAGTTCCATTTAAAGGCAAGGCAGTGAGTGGATGCATAATAACAGGACTGTGACCTGAGGCATCTGAAGGTAAAGGAGCCATCGTTACTGTTATTATTTACAGCTGTGCTCTTCATACAATGTGGTGACAAAATGTCTGCTGGGAAAATTACCTCCAGTATCTTTTTACATAACACTCCACACAATTGCAGTTTTATCATCCTAAATTCCTTGTGTTTCTGATACAAGTTTGTTAATTCAGTGTTTGATTGGAAAAGGGCAAAGTAGTTTAATATTGTGTTTTTTTTAGTGGCATCCTAGTGTGACAATGTGTTCTTATTGTTTTACTGTTTTGACCATTAATATGATTGTGTTACATTTCATCTGCTTACATTAGCTCAGTAGTGAAGTGTAAGTATTTCCATTTTATTTTTATAATATTGAATTGTGATATATTATTATCGGTTCATCTTCATAGCAGCATATCAAATAGTCGAAATAATCTGTATCTCTTACCAGCAAAAAACACTAATGAATCCATCATTGTAATTCAACAATATAACATATATAAAACTGGATTGGGGCATTATGCTTGATATGTACATAAACTATATGTTTTAAAATAAAGGACATTAACTGGAAACAAAGTAATCATAGAGAACAAATCCAAAATGATTTAGGATTGCAGTCTTACACCAAGCAAATTGCATCATTAGTTTCATCATCCTTGTTATAACGCACTCGCTTACACCAATCAGTGGATTTATGAGACAGTGAAGAACAGCAGAGACATTAGTTAGCCTCCCAGACAAAGACGCCATGAATATGACTCATCATTTGATTAATGTTGGCCTCTAGTGGCAGCTCAGGCTTCCTACATTTTTCTTGATGTCTTTTACACATAATGTAAGTGTTGTCACATTCAACGTAAGATGAAACGCATCATTATCAAAGATTGTGCAACAAAACCCTATATTGTTCGTGTAATTTGATCCCACTGTTGCTGTTATCCCGTTGTTTGTGTGGAAAACCTTGGAATTTCACATGTAGGGTCTGTTTCAAAGGGAAGTGGATTTACTTTGATGATGTAAGCTTTTCTCTTAGGGATTTTATTAATAATGTAGCCTGCATTAAATAGTCTCATTCTGAGACACTGATATCTCTCTCAGTACGTCCACCTTTATGCACACAGTGTTTTACAGAAGCTGGTGCAGACATGCATGACATGTTTCTAAATCACATGATACAGAATGTGACTTAATGCATGTCAGACATGAATCAGCACTGTGCTGATTAATGCTTGAAATTCAAGTGCAGTTTATATATTTAGCATTATTAGCATATGATTAGTTAAGATCATTGATCTTCTGTCGTTTCTGCATAATGGTCCATTTAAGCATCTCCTCCCTGTTTGGCTAGAAATAGACTTACACTGTGATGAATAATTACATGAAGTAAATTAGAAATTCTGTTCTGTTTTACGGAGGTATGTCCTCTCCTATTTTTGTATTTCCAGCAAACCAAAGGGGAATGTCACACGCTCCTGTGAGAGAACAGCCTGAGCACAACAGCAGGGTTTGTGTTCAGGGTAAAGTCATGTCTGGTTACATTAAGCACCTTCTGGGGCTGGCAAAAACAACAAATTATATAAAGCTTAATTATTGTAAAATGTCAACTCATTTATATGGGTCTCAGGATAACTTGTATTTTCTGTGTTAATATTATTACTGCTGCATTATTGTGTTGCATTTTACTGCTGTAGATGTTTACAACTGTTAACTTATATAAACTGTTGGGTAGTTTAGCCTACAGCAATGCGTCAGATTTAAATTATAATTCCATGTTTGTAGCATTGCTGTTCTGTTAGAAACAAGTATCTCTAAAAAAAAGGGGGACTTTTCGTGAGTTTCTTAAAAAAAAGGCCTGTTTTTAGCTCTGCAATAATGTAAATAATGTGTCCAGTTTAAGAAGTAGGAGACTTTACTTTCACATAAAGGAACACTTCATCTTTCAGTTTATCAGACAAAAAGATCATCACATTTGGAGATGCATGGTTTTTACTGGACAGGAAGGGAATGTATAATAATATAATGTAACTATGCTGTCAGAGAAGTGAAACAATATATAACAATATGTATCTACAATTGAATAGCTTGAATGGAAATACTTCTTTCATGGTGCTAAAGTTCAGTTAGTGACCTTAGTTACTTTCCATTACTGACCAGTGTGCAATTCGGCCACACTTGTCATTCATAAGACTCAGTGGAGTTCCTCGGTGAATACAAGAAGAGGAGTGGCTCTTCCTTTGTGTGGCACCTCACGCTGTGAGATATTCCGTTACACTGCTCCAAACCTCTCAGGCTACCAATGACCAGCCTCTGACAATGCGACCGCAGCCGGAGAATCAGCTTCACAGACAGACACGATATTTTAGCTGCACGGCCAGAGGGGATGGTGGCGTGTTCTCGGTGCTGCAAGCTTCTTCGCCGGAAAAGACACTTGCAACCCGGTGTGTTTTTGAGGTGCACTCGGTGTCAGAGTAGCATCACTGCCTGATCACTGCGCACGGATTTCAGTGACTGATTTCTGCCATGCATCCGCATTGGAGGATTATGGGGCATGCTGCCTATGCATGATATTTCCCTGCGCTTTGATGCTTGATCATTGCATCATGTTTTTTCCTGCTGTATCAGATACATTTCCTGACAGAAGAACCTGTTATTTTAGGCAGCTACACGCATTGCCTACCTGTGTGTCTGCCTCACTGACATCTCTGCTTGCAAGCTTGTAGATTGTTTTGGTTGCAAGGCATCGCTATCATCCACACTGACATGCCTCTCCAATGCTGGCTGCTCACATCCCGCCAGACGTCTTAAACATCGTGGGGTGAGCGACATGGACAGTGGGATCCGGGCTGTGACGGTGGGAGACGGGGCAGCCAATTTCTCCGCGGCAGCCCACCTCTGGCTGGAGCCGCTGAACGCCTCCAGTCCCCCGCCGCTCCGGTGGGACCGCGGCGGGGCTGCGGAGGGCACCGGGCAGCGCCTCCTCCGGGAGCAAGCCTACCGGGACTTCACCACCGCCATCCAGGTGTTCATCCTCATAGGATCGCTGCTCGGTATGTCGCTTCTAGTTCTAACACACTTACTGTGCAATCTTGACAGAAAAGGCCCCCATTACACCTGCAGACATTTAAACCTTATATGTACAGTTTTGGTATCACTCCATTGAAACATTTACTAGGCTACGGCATGTTTTCCATGAGCTTCAACAGTTTGGTTATTACATAGTACATTTTTCCACATGGGGACACAATGTATGCAAGATTAATTAGAATATCTGAGGACATCTGCAAAAACAAGTAATCCTAAAATATCATACATGCCTTAATGAAATGAATATAA